GATTAGTATTTTCCCCTGGTGTAAGAAGGGACTTTGAGAGCCCATCTCACATGAAGGGATACACTCTGGCCCTGGACACATGGGGAAGGGCCCAGTCCCTGCACAGGAAGATTTGGTGGACTCTGCAGAGCCCCCATTGAGGGCCCTACCCTGCCTGGGGAGTGGTGGGTATATGGGGTGGGGGTTGGGTTGGGGGTGAGGGAAAAGGGATGGGGGTGAGGGGAGGGAGAGGGAGAAGGGACTTACATGTGAAACAAGCTTGTTCCCTAATTAGAACTAATAAATAAAATTAAAAAAAAATCTGCAGGTTTGGACAGGGTAAAGGTTTGTGATAATTTATAACATATGAACAGTGTTTCTAACTAATGAATTCCATTTAACTTTTCAGGAAGTCTCTCACCTTCTTAAACTTATATCATCATGCTCCTGCAAAAGGGTGGTTGGGTGGAGGACACATTTCCCACTATCAATTTCAACCCGTATATCAAGTTCAAAGTCAATATTTCTCTCAGTAGGTGGACCACTAATACTTCGGTTGACTGGTGTTGTAGGCCATCGTTCAGTAAGCAGCTGATGAACAGCAGCAAAGCCTGTTGCTTTCTTCCTAGAGGTATGTCTGCAAAAAAAAAAAGGCATCATTCCTTATAGTAAACTAAAATCTTCCCAATGAACTATTTCCCAATGTTATGTAACAGTCTATAAAGAAATTTTATTTTATAAAATAATAAAATTAATTGAATAGAAATTATTTAACTAGTTAAAACTAAAGTTTTTTCTAGGTTTGATGGAGTCACATATTATCCAACAATTATGAACTGACTATTATCTGCCAGTAGGTGCTAGGTGATGAAGACACAGACATAATTATAGCTATTAATGAATGTGAACACCAGTGTATGAACTGAACTATATGTTGGAAGAGGTTTCATTTCTAAAATTATAAAATCTAAATGCTGGCTTCCAGATTTTATTAAAAGACAGAAGAAGAGGGAAAGGAAGAGGAAAAAAAAAACTGCCAAAGCTATTTTGACATCTGGTGGTACTAAACACCACACACAGTGTTGATGACACTGATCCTGATGTTGCTCCACAAATTCATTCATGCTGTTATCCCAACACTGAGGAGGCTGAGGCAAGAAGATGGCAAGTCCAGGCCAGACTGACTACACAGCAGGCGCTTATCCCTATGAACAAAACAACCCCAAAACTCTCCAAACTAGATTGAAAACTTGAATACAAGACCTACGACGATATAACTCCTAACAGGAAATAGGGAAAAATTTCTGTGACAGATCTTGGCAATGATTTCACATAAAATCATTTGAAATAAAAAAAGCAAAAACAGACAAAATTATATCAAACCAAACAAGTGCTATGTCTCCAGAGGAAAGGAAATATTATCAACAGGGTAAAAGGTGGCATATGGATTAAGACAAGATGCTAATTTCTAAAATATATAAGAGACCCATAAGCTAAAGAGAAAAAAAAAACTAAAAAACTCAATTATAAAAAGAGCCTACAGTCAGGCTAATCCCAGCACTTAGGAAGCAGAGGCAAGTGGATTTCTTGTGAGCTCAAGGTCAGCCTGGTCTACAGAACAAGTTCTAGGACAGCCAGGGCTGATACACAAAGAAACTCTGTGTACCAGCCTTTTTCTTTTGGGATACCAATCAGCTTCTAAATCATGACAGAGACTTATTAGTTTTGAATGCTTGGCCTAGGTTAGGCACATTTCTGGCTAGCTCTTTTAACTTAAACTAACCTGTTTCTCTTTACCTTTTGACTTAGAGCTTATTACCTTTCTTACTGCTGTATATCTTACTTTCACTGCTTCTTTATGTCTGGCTGGCTGGTGTCTGGCTGGCATCTTGTTCAGGGCGTGTCCCTCGTTCTCTCCTCCCTCTTGTTCTTCCTTCTCTCTCAAGCCTAGATTTTTCCTCCAAATTATTCTCTCTGCCCGGCAGCCTGGCCCATCCCTGTCCTGTAGCTATTGACCACTTAGCTCATTATCAGACCAATCAGGCAGGCAAGGTGAAACAGATACAGCATAAACAAAAGTAACGTATCTTTACACAGTTAAAAATAATATCCCCAGAATAAACAGATGTATTAATTTTTGCCCAGCACTCAGGAGGCAGAGGCAGGTGGATCTCTGTGAGTTCGAGGCCAGCCTGGTCTACAGAGCAAGTTCCAGGACAGGCTCCAACGCCATACAGAGAAGCCCTGTCTCAAAAAATCCAAAATAATAAATAAATAACCAGAAAATCCCCCCCAAAAAAAAGAAAGAAAGAAAGAAAAGGAAGGAAGGATGGAAGAAAGAAAGAAAGAAAGAAAGAAAGAAAGAAAGAAAGAAAGAGAGTTTACAGCTTAAACAGACATTTCTCCAAGGTGACATACAAGACCCAGACAAATACAGATATATTAAAGGTGTTCACACTAACCATCAAAGAAAACCAAACAGAACGGAAGAGACTGTTAAAATGACTATGAATAAAAGCTGACCAGAATTTTCAGAAACTGGATCCTTCTCCAATAGTAATAAGAATATAAAATATCTAACAATTAGAGGAAACTGCTCTATGACCCACTTCTAAGTATTTATCCAAAAGAATTAAAACTAGGGTCTTAAAGAGACAGCATTCACATGTTCACTGTGCCATTTTCCACAACAGCTATGATGTGGAATAAGATACAAATGTCTGTCAAAAGGGTCACAAAATATATGTTAAAGACTTAAATATACGACCTATGATGGCAAAACTCCTAGGAATAAGACTGTTCTGCCTTGAAATAAATGTAGCAATATGCACTAACACAAATGAACTTAGATTATTACATGAAGCAAAAGAAACTCTAGTCAAAGAAGGAAAGATATTATATGATTCCTCTTTCAAACAGCCAAACCCACAGAAACAGGAAACTGCCACAGGGAGCTGCCAACAAATAGTATTGTCTTATTTACTGAGGACAGACTGTAGAAAACCTGCTATATGCTCTGGCCACAGAAGAATGGTGCTGTACTACACACTTGTACATTTCATACTTAGTGTTCTTGATAACAGAAAACATAAATATGATCAAGCTGGATATGTGGAAAAGATTATTAAATCAGTAAAAATTTTAAAATATTAAGTGTAAAAACAACAAAAAGAGCTACACATTCTGTCCAGAGGAAGCTACTGCCTGACTACTAAGAGGGCTAACTACTAAACAAAAATAGAGGGGCTGGAGAGATGGCTTAGCAGTTAAAAGAACTGGTTGCTCTTCCAAAGGACCCAGTTTCAATTCCCAGCACCTACATGGCAGCTCACAACCATGTCAAACTCTAATTCCAGGGGAACAGATGTCTACTTCTGCCTCTTGCAGACACTGTATATACACACATACAGGTAAGAATCCATACTCATAGAATAGAAAAATAAAAATAGAACTATATAAAGCAAAGAATATACCTAAATATTTCTAAAAAAGTGTTTCCCTAAAAGCCCAAGTAAACTTTTATATTTTAAGAACTACCAAAATAATTGGAAAATTTGAAAAGAAACCTGGACATACCACTGCAAAATTATGAGGCAAAATTTCAAAAATCCTTAAAATGCCCAAGTACAAACAGACAATTAGAAAACAGAGCAAGCCACAATGACAGTATTGAGAGGATTACAAGCAACACTAAACATTGATGCTAAAAGAAAAGGAAGCAGATATTCTTAGAACAGAATTCTATACTCAATTCAATAATCAAATACGAGCACATTAAACTTATTTTATGTTTTTTTTAAAACTTTAGGAAAGCAGATTTGAATTATGATTCTTCTTAGGTTATTTGAAGTTACATTCCAGCAAGTAAAGAAATAGGCCAAATATGCTAATATAAAAGATTGCAAAGCTAGTGGTTTCACTCTGGTGAAATGGGTAAAGAATCATCTGAGCTCAGTAGGAAGACTGAAGATGGTGACAGTGGAAACCTAATCTTATTGTCATAGTTGCAGCAGAGCAGGCTGTAGAGGTAGGTGGATTAGAAAGGTCCTTCTAGTTCCTCATGAGGGCCCATTCTCAGTAAGACTTCACATTTATGTGCCTTTTATTTCATCAACACTATTTCATCTCATTTCTTTCAAGAATGATTTGAAACCCTTATTCACTACTACATACATCCCTTTACTATTCATTACTTTTCTCAACTATATGATATTTTTCAGTGTTTCCTTTTATTTACTAAGCTCAGGAGGAATACTGCTTTCTCTTTTATTAGATTTATAACCATATCTCTATTTCCATCTTATTGGCAGGTAGTATCATGGAGAAATAATTGAAGCAATTTAAATAAACCCATTTATATTAAAAAGAAAACAGCACCATATAAAGTTAAATCACATTAGAGATTATGGATACATATTTCAGTATTATTAAAAAAATGAACACTTTTTTTTTTTTGCTAACTTACTATTGTTATGATTTTATATTTTTGAGACTACTGAGGCTACTGAGTCAACTGTAGCCCAGGCTGGAGTAGAGCTTGATATGTAGTCCAGGAGGATCTTAAACTCCTGATCCCATTGCTGGAATTATAGGCATGTGACATCATGCTTGGCTTGCTAAATATTAGACTAGATAAAATGCCTTAGGTTTACATCTAGTTTCTGACATACCACTTAAAGGTCTTAAAATAAAAATCTACTCACGAGGCTTTCCTGTAAATATAGAATCTTTCCCTCTCACGGTCTTCATCTTTTTCATCCTTCTCAGAGTCTTCACTGGTAGAAGACAGACTGTCATCCCTTCGGCTATCTTCGGATTGGAAAGGAACACTTGGTAAAAAGCCTCCTGTGGTTTTGGGAGAGCTGAACACTGAACAGGATCCTTCACTGTTTGATGAGTAATGCGATGGACCTTCAATAGTTACTGATAAAAGATCCAGTTCTGTCTCCTCTGGAAACTGATTATAAAAACAGTAAATACAAATCAGATTTGTTTATCAAATTCTCTCTCAATTAAAGAGAAAAACTAAAAATATGAAAGACACAAGTCTAAACATTTTAGAATCTCTGAGTTGAATTTCCTCATACTGAACTGAAAGAAAGGGCAGACTCAGAAAGATGAAATGGCATACCAAGGAAGCAAACAGGTCAAACCACAGAAAGTAATCACTGACACCTGAAAACCCAGCATAGTTTTACTTTAGAGGAACATAAAGGATCATCATATTTAATTATTACACACAAGGCAGAAGCAGATTATGTGGAAAGAAAGAAAAAAAATCAAATGTAAATCAGGATGGAAGAATAGCTCATGATGAGCATAGTGATGGTGAGTACAGTTACTTCCTAGAGAAGTTTCTTTGGACAAATCTTTAAAATGGAACCTTCATGGATTGCCAGTATTCTTTTTTTAAAAACTGAAATTTGAAAAAAAAAATCAGGCAAGATTAAATGTTTGTGTTGTATGGGGGATAATATTTATACATGTATGTACATTGTATACACTTATAAAACACTAGTTTAATGACACATTTAGAGAAAAAATTGGCTTAAAATGTTAAGTTTTATGTAGCACATTCTCACACTGTTCTGAATAGGGATCAAATCTCTAATCCTGTTCTTGTTTAGAGATAGGGTCTCACTAAGTTGTTCAGGCTGAGAATAGCAGTATTGCACATGACTATAATCTGAGCATTTGGAGGCATAGGAAGAAGGATCAGCGATACAGTGAGTTTACAGCCAACCTAGGCTACATGAGATCTTGCCTCAAAAACTGAAAGCAAAAATAAGTTATTCATGATGGGCTTGAGCTTCCTGTCCTTAAGCCTCAGCCTGCAAAGGAGTTGAAATCACAGGCATGTGTTATCACACTAGGCTCTGAATATAACATTTAATAAAACACTAGTATATATGACAGTTTTATTAAAGAATTGAGAGTCAATGATCAATCAATCAGTTTGCTGTTTGGAGTTAGATTTGGCTTGAGTTTGAAGCACTTAACAAAGATTGCTGACTTTAAAATGACCCACTCTGTAGTTAAATGTGAGGGAAAAAAGATTAACAAATTGATAATATTTGATTTAGTAAACTTCAGCTTTAGAGTTTAAAATCTGGTTCAGTTGATATGATAAGCTGATTAAGGTTTCTTACTTTTGAAGGTCAAGTAAAATTAAACTACATGTAAATATAAAACCAAAATGGAGTACTATGAAATGTACATTAAAAAAAATTCCAACAATCATAAATCTTTACATTAAGAATTTCTGAGGCTTCAGTTTAGCTTGAAAAGAAAGCATTTTGAAAGCAAATTTTCAGGGCAGTTAATTAGTTTTAAAGTAAAATTTTATGTTGTTTTCATAAGTACCTGAAAGTACCCTTCCCCTGGAGAGCTGGACTGTGGTGAACTTCCCCACACTGTATTTTTCAACTTAATTAAAATAATAAGAAAAGAAAATAAAACTCATGAAAAATAAAGACAACATAAACACACATTCCCCAAATAAACATTTTCACATGAATTTTGAAGTGCTATAGTGTACAGCTCTGAAGCTGGCCTTCCTTCAGGCTTCTACTATTATACACTGTGAACTATACAGATAAATGAGTATGTATTTCACATTAACAACTGTGTAAAAGACATAGTTTAATGTGGACCCTCACTTACTAAGGAAAACTGTTCAACAAAACAACCCCATGTAAACGCAAGCTGTTAAGGGATTTTTACTGCACACACACTTGGTCTGCAGTATAACTATTATAGGCAGTGTCGTCTGCTTGCTAATATTCCAGATACTTCTGCTATGGCAACCCTCACTTTTATCATAGGCAGCAATTCATATTTTTAAACTATATAACATTACAAGTCTGCATTTTTCAAAAACTATTTAGCAACACAAATTTCTAACAAGTACTGTCTTTCTTACTGTATCCTGGATGTTAAAAGTTACTCTGGGTCCAGGAGATGCTGCATCCACACGGATTTCTGGGAGTTCATCAGTTTCTCCTATTCGAGAACTATAAGTAAAACACAGTAATGAAGTAAGCATAAAGATGTAACACAAATATAAAATATAAAACACCAATAGTTTCATTTTAACAACCCCTAGCTTTATAGAAGTCTTATTAATGACATTAACATTTATTTCTAAATATTGACCTTATCAGATGTTTTAATTTTTGGCATTCAACATCTGTGAAAAAGCTTCAATGTTTCAATTAACTTCACATTTTCTTAAATTAAACCATATAAAAAGGATTCATGCTTTTTTATTTTTTTTGGAGACAGGGTTTTAATGTATCCCTGGCTAGCCTTGAAACCATTGCACAGCTGAGAGAGGATGCTCTTGAACTTCTGATCTCCTTGCCTGTCCTAAGAGCGACACTTCGGGCATGTACCACCCAATTTATGTGGTACTAGGGACTGAACCTGGGGTTTCATAATGCCAGGCAAGCACTCTACCAACTGAGCTACAACCCGCCTCAGGAATTTATATCTTATTTTTATGACTTAATACTAAAGCAAGTTTTTAATATGTACAATTAGCCTTCCTAAATTGACTATTTAGAAAGCAACCACCAACATGCAAATTTTCTTTTCTTTGGATCATCTGTAAGCTTATACATTAATCATATCTAAATAAGTTTGCTTTACTAAAACTTTCTTACTACATTGAGGAATAAAACCAATGACATATGACAGTAAATAGTGACTGTTATTTTACTAATAAAATTTATTTTTCTATTTTTCTTTTTTAACTATCCAATTGGAACACAGTAAAATATATATATATATTATACCTAATTCTTAGTCCTGGAATTCCTTATCCAAATTACATATCATGCACTTACTATATTCAAGGTTCTATGAAATAAGCATGGCTCATGAACTCAAGCAATTTCTGTTTCTAGAAAAAAAAGATATATGATATATATATATATATATATATATATATATATATATATATCATATATTTATATTGAATCCTAGTTTGTCTCATTGGTTGAAATATGTATTACCTTGCTCTTTCCATTCTCTTAAGAGGCGGTCTTCCAGAAGCTGAAATGCTCTTTGATCGGTTGTAACTTGGTTTGTAACCTAAACCCCACTTATCCTTGAGGGAAGCAGCCTAATAAATGGTAGAGGAAAAAAAAGTGACTCAAAGCAATTGTATACTGATGTGGTATTTCACTACAGCTAAAATAAAAAAAAAAAAAAAAAAAACTATGTTAGTTCTTTTACCTCCAGGTGACTTAAATGACATTCAGCATAGATGAATCAAAGTACCACAGCAAACAGTCATCCTAATGTCATTAAAACCAATTAGCAGGACTATACAATGGAAGTAAGAGTCACTGGCTAACTCAACAAAAAAAGAAAATATTGGGGAAGAAAAGAGAAGTACAGAAACATGGTGATAACAAAGGAAATAATTAGAAGATGAGGAAAAAATGAGCAAAGATCCTGAGGATAAGCTAGGTGTGTTTTGGGGAAGAGACCACTTTTTTTTTTTTTTTTTTTTTTTTTTAATCATTTCAAGGACCATTCAAATTGCTCCTCTGCTCCAGACTTCTACTTCACTGTAGCAGAGAAAAACAAGAGACTGAAATGCTGTGTGATGAGGTGCTGGGTGCTAAAAAGATTCTCACACAGTTCAGAACTCATGAAATGGTAGCGACGGAAGGGGAAATGTTGAGTGAGACAAGTATGAAGAATACAAATGACATTTCAATGGTATCTTTAATCCTTTATCAAGTTTTATTTTTAGGAACCTACTACCAGATAAACACCCTTAGAAACAGATGTATACTTAGTGTATGACTTTCAGCACAATTTTAAATATATAACTATACACTGTACCATATCAAAGTCTATTACTCTCAGAGAATAACAATTGATAAAGTAAATGGATTTTCTCTTTAAATAATTTAGAGCAGAACTTGAAGAAGGTTCTCTGGGAATTAGAGGTGACTGAGGGATCACCTACAATCTTTACTCAGACCCCTTTAATGAATGGATGGAAAAAAAAAAAGGAAGAGGAGGAGGAGGAATCTTCTAGTAAAAAATTCTCTTCTTTTGGAGCAGTTTTTATTTTATTTTTTATTTCTGGTTTCTAGTTCCACAAAAATCTGACCATACAGAAATTAAGAAATTTTTTCTGAGCTATTAGAGAAGGTAAAAATGCTGCCCCAAGGATTTGGAAAAGCAGGTAAATACATAAATAGGAGTGTCAGCTGATAGAACAGAATTCACAAGTGGAGAATGCATAAGCACAGTACTGTAACGACAGTGCTAGGTTGGGAAATCTAAGGCTCGTACAAACAATTGCAATAATTAAAAATGCCAATTGGTAACAAGGTACTCCTGCAGCATAGTGAGAACTTCTTCAGGCGTTTGACAAGATTCCTTCAATAAACACTAGAAGAAGAAGCTCTTCAATCTTTCAGCAAAGGGAAGGGGAAAATGAATGTTTTGAGAATCACCAGAGTATAGTTGTACTGAATATGGCCAAATTTTTGTATGTGCCAGTCTTTTATTTAGTTACACTGGGTTAGTATTTGCATATATAACCTACTAGAAACTTCTTGTATAGTCTGAATGCCTAGATAACTTATATTACTATATGATAACAAACACGAAGTAAATACTTTTTACAATATGTTGTTTAAGGAACAACAAGGAAAAAGTCAGTGTATGTTCAGTAAAGAAACAATTATGTTTTCTAAATACTTTTGATCTGTGGCTAACTGAATTTAGGAATGTGTAACCCACAAATATAAAGTGGCAACTGCAATGTTTTTCATGTGGCTTGTCCTTAATAGAAACTAGCTAACCTGAACCCAACCTGATCTGGGTGATATGTCACAGCATACCAAAGAAAAGGGAGATACTGAGATCTTATCAGGAATATTCATTTTGTCCCATCCAAATGGGCAGGGTAAAAAAATGACAAATGTCTATGAAGGTCGCAGACCTAAGCACAAAACCTAGAAGGAAGTTTACAGCAAGCAGTTCCTTTCACCTAGTACATCATGTCTAGCTATCAAGAAAAAAAATTACAAAATATACTACAGGCAAAAATGAAGATCTGAAGAAAAAAAAGTCAGAAGCAAACATGACAAAAGTGTTGGAACTATCAGATTAGAATATTAAAAGCAGTTTTAATTAATGTGTTATGGCTCTCATGGATTAAAAAAAAGGCAGACTATAAGGACAGCTGGACAACATGACCAGAGGTGAAAATTCTAAGAATGAACAAAAAACAAAACAGTAGAGATGAATATAATAACAGAAAGAACATCTGATGAGCTTATAACAGGCTGGACATGCTGAGGAAAAAAATCACTGAGACTGAAACAGATTCACAGAAACTTCAGAAAGTGGTAAGTAAAGACAATGGAGACAAGAAAAAAAAAGAAAAGAAAAAAAAAAAAAAAAAAAAAAAAAAAAAAAAAAAAAAACAAACAACAGCAGCAGCAGCAACAACAAATCCAAACAAGATCCTAACAGAATGCCCATGACTTGAGGGAAAACTACAAAATGCATAAAGATGTACAATGGTAATACCAGAAGGGAGAGGGAAGAGAGTAAGTCACCAGAGTTCTCTGTGGACTGGGACAATCAGGGAAGGCACCTGAGGGGGAGGTGACCTTGTTCTAGTACCTCTCCCAACATGGGTGGTATAGCTACATTCACAGTGGATACCCTACCCTGTTGCTTACCAATGGCTCTGACTCTGTAATGGAACTGCCAGTGACTAAGATTTCTTTAGCAATGTAAGATATCAAACCACAGATAGAAAACTGAGGAACCAAATAGGATAAATACTAAAAAAAACTACACAACAAAAGATAAATATTAAAAAAAAACCTAAAACAAAATTGAATAGTATCTCAATCACTGAGAAACAAAGAATAAAAATGACACCCAATTTTTCCTTAAAAAAAAAAAAAAATCATGCCAGTGAGAAAAGAGTGAAGAACAAGAAAATGGCCCACAGAATCAACTAACCAGGGATCACAGAGACTGAACTGACAATCTGGGAGCTTAGGTCTGACCTAGGTACTCTACATATATATTATGGTTGGGCAGCCTGATGTTCTTAGGTGACTCCTAACAGTGGGAGCAAAGAATTGCAGTGCAAGAGTTCTACAGAGATGAAAATCAAACAGGCTAGAAACATGGATCTCCATAAGGAAGATGACCAAAGAATTAAATGAAGGCAAATAAAAATTATTTTTTTCTATTCTAAATGATCTAACATAATTTGTTCAAAATAAATCACACTAATGCTGTGTTGTGTGCTTACATACACTACAAATAAATATGCATATCTATTACTTATACACATATTTACTTATAATACGCATCTTAACTTTATACATATATCACACTTATATCCATGTTTACACCTAAGAAATGAGTGACCATCATGGCAAGAGGGATTACTTTATTATTATAGGTACTCATGCTACCTATGAAGCAGTATAGTGTTATCTGAAAGCAGACTTGGATTTAGTTGTACACATGTAAATTTAAAAACCACCACCAAAAATGTATTTTTTATTTTACTTTTTATCCAAAAATGTATTAAACTACAACTGATTTCAAAGAGGAGAAAATGAAATCATACAGTATTCAGTTAAAACTACACAAAACAGAAAAAACAAAAGCATGAATAGAGAACAAAAGCAATAGAAAACTGAAAAAAGGTAGATAGATGTTGAATCCAATGGTATCAATAATCATTTTAAACATCAATGGTTTAAAAGACTAACAGAATTGCAAAGCTCAAAGGATGGTTTCTGTGTCATGGTTGCAGACCTTTTATCAGAAATGGACAGCCCAGTGCACACAGAAAATCTTTATGTACATAACTAAACTCAACAGCACAGTTGCAGGTAGGTAATGTGAGCATAACATGGATACTGAGACACTCCTGTGGCTGTTTCTGCTTTCCTTCCACCCTTCAAGACTCCCCCCCCACCCCCCAATCCACCCTAATTTGTATCTCTTCCTCTTTCACTGCTTCCTGGCTACCATGAATGAACATTTCTCTGCTACACCTCCTATGTTAATACCATCACAACCACAAGGTAAGAGGGTCAAGTGACATAGACTGAAACCATAAGCCAAAATCAGCTTTTCTTTCTCTTCTGTTGATTATCTCAGGTATAGAGTAAAGAAAAATTAACTAACACATTGCTTCTGATCACTCCTTTTCAACAGTGCCCTAATAGGAATATAGACTAGGATGGAAGAAATAAAGCTCCCTCTACTCACAATGTGACACAATGGTCTATGTAGGAAATACAGAATTGATAAAAATTGTCCGGTAATTTATAAACAAGTATATCAAGATTATAGGATATAAAATTAATATATAAAAGCCAATTTGCTTTCCTATATACCAGCAATGAACAAAGAGAATGCAAAATTTGAAACCAAAATTAAAATATTTAAGCGTAAATCATATAAAATGTATACAAGAGCTTTATATGAAGGAAACTATAAAACTGATGACAGAAATCAAGACACTTAAAAACTGGAGAGATATTTTACATTCTGTATTGTCAGGCATAATACTGTTTAAGGATAAGGAATGGCAAGGGAAGACAGTGGGGTTTTAGGCAGTAAAATTACTGTGTATGCAACAGAGAATACATGTCATTATATGTTTGTCCTAAACGACAGAATGCACAGCACCAAGAAGGAACTCTCCTGTAAACTATCAGCCTTGAAATTGTGTACATGTAGGTGCATCAGCTGTGCTAAGTGCAATATTCTCAAGGAGAATATTGACAGTGGCTGATACAATATATGTGTGCAGGGAAATCTCTGTACATTCTCTGAGGAACTTAAAGTTGCTCTAAAAATTATGTTTTACTAAAAAGATAAGGCAGAAAAGACAGAAATTGTGGCTTGGAGGTAAATATTGAAAAACTGGAAGCAAAGACATGGAAAAAGATTGCACATTTCTGAGAGCATACATGAGATGGGTAAAAAACTAGTGTGAGTTCACGAATGATGGGAACAACACTGGCTTGGGCCTAACTGCAGACTTCCATTGCCTGGCTTTGAAACTTGGTTCCATCAGGATTGCTGGCTACATAAAATTGGTCAAACTACTTGACCTCTCTGTGCCTCAGTTTTCTCTTTTTTAAAATGGAAGAAAAGGCTACTTCATAGAATTATTGTGGAGATTTATAGGCGATTAAATGTAAAGTGTTTTAAATAGTGCCTGGCCCACAGGTCTGATTTTCATAAATCAGGTGGTATTATTACCAGCTTGAATAAGAACATAAATACTGCTATGTTTCAAAAAGTAAGCATTTAAAAATAGTCTTCTGCAATTTTTAAGTAGGTACTCACTCGCATACTGGATCTCCGTAACTTTTTACGAACATCTCTTCGGATATCATTCACAGCCACAGACTCCAGCTGTTGGTAACGCTGAATTTCCTGGTTTATGGTTCCTTCACTTGCACCCAATTTTCTAAAGGAAAACAAAACAAAATCAAAAAGAAAAGGAAAATAAAATCAAAAACAAAATGGAGAGGTTATTGTAAAGAATCGAGTAAGTAAAACTTGCTTTTTAGCTGCTGTTTTAGTTTTCTCACATGTCAGAGAAGCAAAGGACAATATCTGGATGGGTGAAAATTCCTGCAACTTTAACACTCATATCTAGAAAATTAAAAAGACCCACTTGTTGTGGGATATTTGTATACTGTGTGAATATGTATTTGATGATTTTAGTGTAATAAAAAGCAGAATGGCCAATAGCTAGGCAGGAGGTATAGGCGGGGTTTCCGGGGACAGAAAGGAAGAAGGGAAAGAATCAAGGCACATGAAAGACATCAGTGGGACTCTAAAGAAGTTCGGTATAGAGTACAGATCAAGGTAACCAAGCCATTAGGCAGAATGTAAATTTTAAAAACTATGGGTTAACTGAATTATAAGAGCTAGTTAGGAATAGATCTAAGCTAAGGCCAAGCTTTCATAAGTCTCCGTGTCATTATTTGTGAGCTGGTGGCCCAAAGAAAAATCTGTCTACAACCACTAACATCTGAGGGAAGACTTACACTTTCTACCCACTGATGTAGCAAAAGGTACCAGCAATCTCATGGAAACCAAACACTCACTCTGCAGAAAAAATGTATATATGATTCTGGAAGACTAATATATTTTACCTCAAACCATTTTTCTTCCTGAGGATAAAACTCAAATTAATGGGAAATTGAATCATTATGTGATAATTTAGACAAGTTTTAAGGTCATACCTTTCATTTTTTAAAATTCCTGTATTTGTGGGAAGTCCTGATTGAACAACAACAAAATCCCCACAGGTATAACAAGTATTTGAAGATTAGGAAAAAGGAGGCACGGCCACCAACTTGGAGGAAATTAAAGTTTCGAAGTTTAGCAAGAAGAGTATTTATCTTTGTACAGGAGGTACTTAGTAAGACTGAAATACAGCAGGCAACAGATTGAAAAAAAAAAAAAAGGTTACTGATGCTTATTGTATTACCTCTACTTTGATCTAAAGAACTGTTAATACCAATAGGCAAGACTTTAAAAAAAACAAACCCATAGACTTTGAATTCATGTTTATACAATACAAATCTCAGTTCTTTACTCTGAGATAGTTTTCTCATCAGACATTTGGAAAATGCTATTTAACCTCACAACTACACTGTGTGGTTTACTGTGAGACAGCATGTCATACCAGAAGAGGTACCCAGAAATGCTGACTCTTAATTCCTCAAAAAAAAAAAAAAAAAAAAAAAAAAAAACCACTTCTAGAAACAAGGTTAATAAACTAACACACACTCAACTATGCATGTGAATACATGCAAGCATGGACATGCACATGGAATTGTGTATATATGATATAAAGTCAGCCATTCACTTCACAGAAATGAGTTGTGAAGCCAGAAAGCTAGGATTCCAAGCTTAACTTTATTACTAATGAGCTCAGAAAAATTACTGTACTTCTTGGAACACTGATGACTTCACTGATAAACTAAAAGGTTCCCTCCATCTTTAGCATCCTATTACTCTATTAATAGAGAATGCTATAATTAAGTTAAAAACCAATGACTTACTTAAGATCATCTATTACTTTGGCCTGTTCATTCAGTTCTCTGATGTCCACTAAACGTTTCATAATCTTTCTTCCTCTGGGTTCTCCTGGCTGGCTAGAAGATGCTCCTTGTCTTCGATAATCTATAGCTTCCTAAAAAATTGAAAGCATACATGTTAATACCACTTTCAGTTCATACAGACAATCTATACTACAAAATTAATGCCTCAGATCAAAAAAAGCATGCAAGAATCAAAGCCATCTATAGCAGGTAAGATGATTGCCGTTTTCCACTGATTCAAATCCCCTCATTTCATAAGAAACCTACTGAGTTGCTACCTACGTTTCCCCATGAGTGTGCTCTGCATGCTTTCAAATGGGACTGGCTAGACTGAGGGGAGCCCCGCATCTCTGAATCACACAGATACTCTGCAGGAACAGAATAGCGCTGATTTGGGGGCGCCAGGCCTAGTAGGTGATTTACAAGTCGCTGCCCAAAGGTGAGTTTGTGGCCATCTCCACTTACTGTACTTCCATCTGAACTCTAAATAATAAACAGTATTATTAATTTAAAATTACTTTTAAAGACAAAACTATCTTATGATATAACAGATAAATGTATTTAAAATCTCATTACAAATCAAAACCAGAATGAAATCTTAAAGTCACTTTCTTTTTGACTACTAAGTAACTTGATACTACAGAATAAGCGGTATAGCTGGAAAAACACATTTTTATATGTATATGTCACAGTGTAAGCATTTTGTTTTTAAAAAGACTTATTTGTAAAAATCTTTCCTAAAATATGGTTTACAGACAATAAGATCCATCCATTGAGTATGTACAACTCCATATATCTAGAACTCTACAGTCATCTCCAAACTTTCAGCATTATTCAGAAAAGCTCCTCTCCTTGTAGCAGGCCTTTCCATCCCTGTTCTCAAACCTCATCACACAGACTGAAGACCCATTTGATCTACTTTCTGTGTTGATTTATCTTATCCCTCTTTCAATGTCATCACATTACATTGAGGCTAAGGCACATTTCATAGTGGCATTACTATGAAATACACAACAGCACTGTAAAGTGGAGACCCACCATCACTTTCTTCCTTTCCTCCACAAATAGCAATCACAACACACAAAGTAACACTGAGTTAATCAGGTACCTGACTCAGGAAAAGCCAGTCTTGAAACTCCTGTACTTACAGTATGGATTGTGGGAGACATAGTATCGACTTCATCTTCATCTGACAGGTCAGCTATGTTCACTGAATTGAGGTCAGCAATGTCATCTATATCTTCCTCTCCTGTCAGTGTTGTAAGGGTGTTGCCCAGAGCATTAAGCCTTTTGCCAATGTTAGGGTCCATGTGGACATCAATCCCACACATTTTCCACAATACATTGAGAGTCCATGTTCCAGCACTACTACTTTCTGTTTCAATAAAGAAGTGGTATTAAAAAAATATTCCAGTATAAGCAATTCTGAACTATATGATGACCTTTCATAGCAAGAACAGTCCGAAACACCAGATAGTGAACTGGTTTCCATGAATACAGTGTATATCTATCTCTTCTGTATAATAGCACCGCTCTTTATCTTGAGGATTACATGTTTCTTCTGAGTCCAACAGATCTCCCTCCCCATGAGAACACCAGAAACCATCATAAACTCATCCATCAGTTATAACAGCTAAATAACTAAGTAACTAAGTAACTAAATAACTAAATAACTGGTCAAAGTAAACATCAAAGCTATAAAAACAAAAATCTTTCTCATTTAAATGATAGAGTAGAAATGAGGCCATGAGCTCTTTCCATCCATGTAATGTCATCAATTAAAGCAAAGGAACAAACAAAACAGGAACCAAAAAAAAAAAAAAAAACCAACCCATCAACAACAACAACCAAAGAATAACAAAACCAGCAGCAAGAGAGGAGTAAAACCCAGAGCTGAATGGGCTCTGGTGACAGATACTTGTTCTGGTTGTGCTCTCCCTTCCCTGACACAGCATTCTTAAATTTAACATTCTCTGCAAATATCCTGGGGTAAGATCTTGCTTTTGGTTAAGCTAGTTTGAGTAGGTTGCTTTCACTTATAGTCCTGGTAAAGACGTGTATCCCCTTCTCCCAAAAGGTATGTTTGCTCAGTCTCTGGCCTTCTAGCAGTGCTGTTGGAAACTGTCCTAAGTTTTTAGTCCTTGTTGCTGGGAATAGCAGTTGCCTCTTGACATTGCTCATTCAGGAGATGAACACTATGGATACAGCTGGAAGAACGTAAAGAAACAGCAAAAAAAGAAAGGATCACTAGAAACATTGCTGGCTCCATCGGTCTATGCCTCTCAATATCCAAGCCTTTCAGTAAATGTTTGCCTTTAGCATGACTTGATAACTTTTATGGCATGAGAAATAAATAATTGACACTGTTACCTTTTTAGCTGTGACACTTCTACATTTACTGCCCAACTGTTTTCCTATGCCTTACTGCCTTGAGTGACTCCTTTGATGGCATCACCATTTGATTTCTTGCTCAAAAGTATTTAATAGCCTCCCTATTCATCAACAAATCAACTCTTGAATTTGGTATTTGAGACTTTCTATCTTATTTTCACCTAACTCTATTTCAGTCAAAATGAACAGTAAACCTACCAGCTGCAGCTTGTCCTGTAGTCCTTGAACAAACTTCATAGGTGCCATCTGGAACGACACCTGTATAAGAATGACCACAATAAAATTATCAATAAAATATGCATGTATTAAACACTGTACCACATGTTTTTTTTTCAAAGAAAATTACCTAAATATAAACAGGACTTTTAGCTCTGCTATGCTTCAATTTCTCCCCACAAAAGAACCTTTGAACTCAACCCTGTTCTACAGAGTGTAGCATTTTATTTTATGATTTTAGCAACTTACCTATAGCTTTGGCTTGGTCACCTCTAGATGACTTTCTACTAACTTCTAGGATTCTATGATAATTTGTGATATCATGTGTATAACACACACACATACACACACACACACACGCACGCACGCACGCACGCACGTATGCACGCACAAGCACACGCACACGCACACAGACACACACACACACAGAGTTGCTGGTTTTGTTTTTTTGTTGACAGGTTCTTGCTATGCAGCTTGCTTTGGCCTTGAACTCACAATCCAGTCTTAGGCTTCCAAGTACTAGGATTATAGATAAGGCATCAAATCCAGGTGAAGACATTTTTTAATTACAAAAATTTTACATTTATTTACTATGTGTGTGAACATGTGTGCACACCTGTGCAAGTGCCATGACATGAGTAAAGAGCAGGACTTAATTCTTTCTCCTTCTACCCTGTGAGTCCAGGGATTGAACTCACCTTAGTGGCAAGTACCTTTACTGGCTGAGCCATCTGGTCAGCCCCATGTAGGAATATTTTAAGAAGGGAAGTCATTGACAGAAAATTGACAATTTAGAACTACCATATTAGGTAAGAGACAATCTGTCATTTTTGTCATCTCTTTGCCAAGGAGTATTTTATGAGGAAAAGGACTGACTGCTATGATGTCAATCTCATGATCTTGGATCTAAGGCCAGAAACATATCTGATTTTAACTACAAAATGTTATTATCACATGACTTTAACTTAGTACCTTAAACTTAATCAGTGAAAAATATGCTATCTTTGAAATAATCTCTAAGCAAAGTAAGTTGCAAAGAAAGAATTAAAGTCACTTTAAGTAAGCCTTAATGGATATAAAATATCAATCTAAATTTGATTACAGTCCTAAATTTGATTACAGTCCTTTTATAACTTTGTGTGAATCCTAAATTGGCATTCAGAAGTCATTTAAAGTTGGAATGATTTGCTTTTTCTAGGTACTTTGATATTAAATTTGTCTTTCCTTGAAAATTTTCTAAAAAGAAAAATATTTCAAACTTAGGTACACTATCCTTTGTGAGAAAGGATCATTTTTTTTTTCTTCTTCTTTTTAAGACAATTCCCCAGGGCCTCATGTTGTAGTCCAGGCTACCTTCAAACTTCTGTATAGCTGAGGATTAGAAGGCTGACCTTGAACTCAAGATCCTTTGGCCTCTTTGTGTGGAAGTCTGTGATTACAGGCATGCCTACATGGCCAGTTTTATGTGGTACTTGAAATCTAACCCAGGGATTCCTGATGGTAGGCAAGTACTCTATCAATTGAGCTACATCCCCAGCCTTATTACGTTCTTTAAAAGACATTGCAGTAACTGTTAAAAAAATTATATTTTTCAACTATAAAGTATGGATGTCTGCCTTGTCAATTCTGAATTACAACAAACAAGGCAAGATGTAGCTTCAGGTACAAATCAGAACAAAGACTATATTACTAGCCTTTCAAATTCAGGCATACTACACAATGAAAACTTTAAAACGTGAATATCATTTCTTTTCTCCACCAAATAAGAAAATTATATACTAGTATCTCTCCCACTAGAAACTATAAAGTATTAAATAAAAATTTCTATTTTATCATTTGAATTCATATAACATATCAATAAAATAATTACTCTGCTTACCCTCCCTCCAATTTTCTTCCCCGGGAACAATAGTGAGCTACAAAAGTAAATGCTCTCCAAAGTCTAAATCCAGTTTTTCTGAATATCAGAGATCAGAATGGCAAGGTTATCACTAAAATATATACTGAGGTACTGAATAATTATGTATTCATTTTAATTTGTTTTTAATTAAACACAAGGCCTATTTCCTATATTCTCTAAAAGATAAATTTTCTTATTATTAGGAAAATTGTTTATTTCCTTTTCATTCATAGTGTATTTATTTTAATTAGTGCATGGATAACATTTAACACAAGTCAGGTTTAAATTAGATTTGCCTTTAATTTGTAAAAATATTAAGTTACAATGACTTTTTAGAAAGGACAAGTTACATAAATGATGGCAAACCACCTTCTTAAAGAGCATTTGGATCATAGGATTGGTTGAAGATTTCATATTCATCATCTTTTAGCGTCTACACATGGACTTCATTACAAAGAATGGTGATACTGAAGTATCTCTGCTGTGATACTTAAAAGATAGTAAAAGTGATACAAACAAACCTTTCTAATTTCAAATCAACACATACATGAATAATGGAATTGGAAGAATTCACAATACTTCTCTCAAATTTTAGAAACTTGGGCTATGTTTTTGGGTTATTCCTTGTGTCAGCAATAATTAAAGCTGGAATTCTAGTCCAGGGGATTTATAATCTACTCTGTTTAGTGAGTTGCATCTTTCAGGATCATTGGAACAAAGATGGTTTATCTGGTCATTCATGTTTTGACTACAGGAAAAAACAGGGAGTGATAAAAGCCTCAGATGTGTAGAAGTCTCTGCCTCATTAGAAGGTTGAATTTATAAGTTTTTATAGATGTATTTTGCTACCTTTAATAATAAGGGCTACAAATAGCCCTTATTTAAATTTTAAAGGCATCCTTACATCTGAACATCCTTTAGTTATCAACATAGACACATTTTAATTTTTATAATTATAAGCTTCATGTAGACTCACAAGCATTCATTACTAGATCGCCACGGATTTCTGGTTTCCAGTCATCCCACGATGTCTCAAAGCCGTCCGCAAAACGTATACAAAAGTTCTTGAAATGGCCTTTGCTAACCAGAGACTCCGAGGAACATGCAGTGATGAGAGTACTTTCAATGGTTAGAACGAGAGCAGAGCCAGTATCAAGGTCTCCAGTGTGATTGGACTGAAGGAATACCACAGGGAAAATGAAGCAAAAGATCAATTTAAAAACGCTTTTTAAAAAATCTTTATGTGTATGAATGTTTTGCCTGCCCATAAGTATGTGCATCACATGAGTGTCTGGTGCCAACAAAAGTCAGAAGAGGGCTTTAGATTCACTGAACTATACTTACAGGTGATTGTGAGTCATCATATGGCTGTTGGGAATTAAACTCAGGTTCTTGGAAGAACACTAAGGGCCATTTCTCTAGATGAGAGGATTTCTAAATTTAGAAATCTTCATATTCATAAGAATAAGAATCTAGAAAGAGTCAAGTCTGGAAATCCTCAATATAAAACAACTTAGAAAAAAATAGGCTTTAAACATTCAAACAAATGCATTTTCCCCTTTTAATATACAAAGGGCTAATTATCTGCTTCTCTAGCTTCTGCTTAAATAACGGGGAACACTCTCACTGTGACAACTAGTTCTTGTGTGTGTAGATTTCCTGAACCCTCTCATCGTGTCATAAAAAAGCTGCCACGTTCCAACTCTTTAGACACAATTAAAACTGCCTATCTTGAACTCCAAGTTTCTCTTAGCAATGTTTTGTCAAATAGAACTCTAAATATGAATTCATTCCATTCACAGGCTTATCTCTGCTGTGACATTTAAAATGTTAAAAGCGACACTGAAGGAAAACTGTTACAATAAGACAGCATCCTTGCCTATCCAATTACATATAAAATTTGCAAATTTCTTTAACATTATTTAACATTCTTGTTTAATCCAGTTTGTAAGTAAATTGAAATTCCCTGCCACATTACAGACCATGATATTAAAATGCATTCTGAAATGTCCTTTAGTTTCTACTTTATACAAACATTTCTTTCCTTAAAAAAACAAAACAAAACAAAACAAAACACAATAAGAATATTCTGAAGCTTATTTGCAAAAACAACAATTAAGAGTTCTTGTTCAAGTTATAAACTGTTCTACTTAAAATTGTAAAATACTCACAGAAAGGTGAGTAGAGGCCGAGCGTTGGTGGCGCATGCATTTAATCCCAGCACTCAGAAGGCAGAGGCAGGCAGATCTCTGTGAGTTTGAGGCCAGCCTGGTCTCCAAAGCGAGTGCCAGGATAGGCTCCAAAGCTACACAGAGAAACCCTGTCTCAAAAAACCAAAAAGAATGTGAGTAGAAATATCTGGCTTTCAGTCCTGGAATAAAGTCTCCTATGTCTGTACCTGTGCAGTATTTGTTATAGGGAGGCAAATCCCCAGATCATTCACAGTCAGCTGGAGGAAAAGAGTCCCAAAGGCCTGGGCTGATGTTTGCTGGATACCAGGGAGCATGTCTACAACTTCCTTTGTAGCCATATGAATATCCTTATGTAAAGCCATTCGTTGTTCATTCCAGTTGTCATAGGCAGCCTTATAATTCAACCAAAACAGCACAGCTTTTGCAAATTAAGAAGAGGCAGAAAGAAAATTAAAGTCAATAATGTAAGTGATTTATTACAGTTAGTAAATTTCAACTACTGCAAAATTCTGATGATTAATAATCATTACTAATAAAAATTACTACTAGCAAATTGTAGTACTAGAATTGTAATGAAACTAAAATGATATAGTCAATACTTTCCATGGACAAATAAAAAATGAAGCAGAATTCGAGCTTCTGCCTAATGGCAACAGAAAGAAAACCCAGGTCCATTTATCCTTTCAATATTGTAGAATTCCTGTTACACATTTGGTCCTGGGTGGGATAATAAATGCAAACAAACACTGCTCTTGACCTTAACTGCATAGTTTATCTTTGATATTGATCTGACTGAGAAATGTCCACCTTAGGCCCTAGTATTTAAACGCTTGGTTCCTAGTTAATGGTACTATTTGTAAGGTTAGAGGAATTTTAGGACCAGAGACTTGCTGGAGAAAATAAGCAACGGAGGTGAATGAGAGTTCATGGTACTGCCCCATTATAGTTCACTCTGGGTTTCTTTTGTGTGGCTGAGATATGATTTCTTATGTTCTTGCTTGGGCTACCTGTTGTCATGCCTCTACAGCTGTTACAGACCATCCCTCTGGAACCCTAAGCCTATTTTCCAAAAAAAGTCTGTCAGATATGCTAGGCCAGGAATAGAAATGTCTGACTACAAATGTTTGGCAAGATTTCCACATAAAACCTGAGAAAACTTTAAAAAAAAAAAAAGTATTCTAAATATACAAAAGAACAGCTTCTTGGTAGCAGCATTTTCTTAGGTGTGATCTGTCTGCTGGCTGTGAGCACAGACACGACGATGGAGCTTCCAGGTTTGCTCTGGCAGTATGGACAGCTCTTTTGGGAAGTCCTGTTACCAAACAAATGGGTGGCATGCTACTCGGTGGTAGTGTGGACCCAGAAACTCCCGAGTTGGGACAGTAAATGTGACACTCACTGGTACCTCTAAGCTAAGCTCTCACAAACCATGAAGCTAGGCACAGCCAGCCACCAAATCTGCTGCATTGGCCCTAGCCATGCTGCTTAGCAGTTTAAAGATTCATGTGGTCAGAAAAACTATAGAGATATAAAGACAAAATTCAGAAAAAAAAAACCTTTAAATGGTTTACAGTGTGTTTAAAAATATACAACATCTTGGGAGAGAAAAGAAAAAGGGAATCAACATCATAAAAAGGAAAACACAGTTTTAAAATAATAAAGTCCTTGAAAAAGGAGTGAAGTAATAAAAAAGCCACATAAAGATGGACAATACACAGACAGAGAGTCTGGATACTGGATGCTATTGTGATGTCTTTGAATTGTTTGCTGAGGGAGGAACAACAGCTGCTAAGAGACATTTGATTTTAAATGTTGCTGAATTAATTCAACTATATATTTTTAAATGTCTTGACTTCAAAATTTAAGTCAAAAGATGTGTTACTTTCAGGGAGTGGATTTGCTTTTATTTCCACAGGAAATGGGAGGATGTGGATTCATTATTTCAGAATTCCCTGCTTCACAGGAAAGTCTGTCAGATATTCTAGGGCAGAATTGTATGTTCCAATGTTGCAGAGGAACCTAGCGTGATGGTCAAAGTGGTCTGATGTCCTGTCATTAGGTAACATTTTACTCTTTACTCTTAATGGAGTTGCAGACTACAGTTCTAATAGTAATTTTCCTTAATTACGATAAAAAGGTAAATTAGATGTCACAAAGATAAAATAGATAATAGAATATTTTCTCTAATTTTACCAAATATAAATAGACTAGATATTGTAACTATAATTCTTGATAACTGTTTTTGTTGTATATAATCTTACTATGCTAAAGCTAAAACCTTCCTTTTTTATTTAGACAGAAAGGGGGAATACTATGGAATATTCCTTTACACTCTGTGAATACATGTTGCAGTGACTGGTTTAATAAACAAGCTGACTGGCCAATAGCTAAACAGGATACAGTTAGGTGGGACAGCCAACTGAGAATGATGGGAAAAGGAGGGGTGGAGTCATGAGTTGCCAGCAGATGCAGTGGGAGCATAATGAACATGCTATGTTAATAAAGGAACCACCATATGGCATAGTGTAAATAAGGAATATGGATTAAATTTAAATGTAAGAGCTAGTTAGTAATACGCCTGAGCATTTGTAAGTAATATTAAGCCTATGGGTGGTTATTTGGGAATTGGTGGGTGGGAAAGAAATGTCTGACTACATAAATCTAAATAAACTCTTTATCTATAAGTTGCCTTTGTTCATAGTATTTTATCATACCAACAGAAAATTAACTAATATACCCTTAATGCTTTCAAACATTTCTAAGGATGAACACACAATACTAGGCATATATTTTAGAAGGATATGGTTTGGAAATGTCAAAGTAATTTGAGTTTGTTAGTAAGAAATCCCTTGCCCAAGAAAAATCTTCATCTCACAATAGAGTATGGAAATTTAAGAAGGTAAAAATGGAGAGACAACAGAAGGGGAAAACCAAGAATGGGAGTGCTTTAAGGACCTGGTGAAGGACAGTGAAAGGCAGTTGAAATGGAAGATGCACATCAGAAGCGAAGAGTTCAGCAAACAAAATGTTATGGCAGCACTACCAAGTGGGAAGGTTTTTAATGGCAGATCTAAGACCACCCACTGCAAACTGAAATTTTACAGGGATTAAGAAGTATCTCCTCACTGCCTCTGAAAAATGATTTAAACATTAGTTTGTCCAATCAGCCTTCCTTCTTTTGCTTTTCTTTTCTGAAATCTGTCGCTATCTTATTTTAGACTACTGTGCTTACAAACACACAGTTCTCACACTTGACAACTATTTAGTGTGTACTACTGTTCTAGGGCCTAGGGTAAGAAAATAAGTAACAGATGATCTCATGTGCTTATCTCCCTTCTTAACTTTACATTCAAAGTTGAAACTGAAGAATCTGTTCCTCCTCTAAAAAGTATAGGAAGTTACAGACTCTTTCAGATCTAGAACAAACATTTCTGACTCCATTTAGAAGTCTACCTGAACTTTTTTTCAGCAGAATACATTCCTTGAGGGCATGGATCCTGATCTTGTTATCTATTTTTGTATCCCAGGTTTAGCCAGCACACAGTAAACATTTTTAGAATAAGTGAATCAACTCATGGCAAAAAACACACAAATGGGTAGATAATCTAAACAAAAAGTGTAGCATTCAAAATATAAACTTGGAATAAAATAATTGTATTTATATAAAAAGCAAAATAATTGTAAATATGAAATAATTTTAAAAACCAGAGTTAGTAAGACTTGTTAGGTGCTCACTTTTCAGATTTGGTGAAGGCATTTAGCTGTCAAGCATCCGCAGTAAAAAGCTACAATAGATGTATCTAGAACATGTCCACTTCCCAGAAGACAGTAATGGCCGATTTAATCTTACCTCTATCAAAGGCCACAGGTTGTGCATAAACAATTGGTCTATTCAAAGTAATAAGCACAGCTTCCCTATCTGAAGAACCACTGATTTCTTCACGAAGGGCATTCCTTAATCCAATTCTAGTTTTAAAATAGGCAACTTGATGAAAATCAGAGCCAGCTTCCTCATAAACCTAAAATAAAATTCAAAGCTTAACAGAATCAAATAATGGAAAATTTTATCAAGACAATTTAAACATTATTAACAGCATTGTTCTACAAAAGACCTACAGTATACTTCTCCTAATTCAATCATTAAATGGTAGATTTCTTACATTCTGTTCCATAAATGCTTAAAATTAATATAAAATGTGGGAACTATATAAAAGGAAAACTTGGAGCTGGTTGTGGCTCTGTGGTAGAGAGCTAGCAAGCTACGTTAACAACAGAGATAAGCAAGGTGATATATTAAATGTTTCAAAATAAATAAGTTTTTTCTCTCAAAATATGTACCCATTTGAAAAAATTAGTTTTTCCACAGATAATAATTAAAAATAGTCAATGTAGTCATCAATTTTTAAACTGGAACGGGCATTTAAAAAACGACTCTTCAAATCAAAATTAGGTGACTTTTAAAAGATTACATAGTTACCAAAATTAAAGCAAACAACAGACAATATCTTTGATAAATAGTAAAACTTTGCTTATTAGGGAACTATACTAACTGCTGTCTTTTTCTTAAAACTTTACATACTTAACATTTATTAAATGTGAAGTTTTCAAATATTCTACAGGGAAGGTGCAAACTTGACACTTTAGATATTAACTAGTGAAAGCATGAAACAGTGAAATAAAAATAATGCTTAACAAACTGAAAAATTATAAGCAAATGTTTATGCAGATACTGTATAGTCTCATGAGATCACTATTGCGTTAACCTGCAATAGCTAGAATGTAGTAAAAAACTGTAATGAAGTGGCAAAGTAAAACTGTAAAGACCTAAGTAAGTTTTCACCATAATTTGCAATATAAATTTTAGGAACCTAAATATTTCTAAAATTGCAACACATAAATTAATTTAAAGACAACAGTGACAATACCAATATATTCTGTACAAACCTGATGTTTGACAATTTGCCCTAATGCCAGATTTAAGTCTACTTGGCATTTACCAAATAGTTTCAGATAGCTGCTACTTCCTGGTGAAGCTTTGGTTTGAAGTCGGTTTGAAAGTTCCAATTCAATCAGTCCAGTTTCAAATCTCACAGCTCTCATTGAAGGGGTGGTTGCTGTTACCTGAATACCCTAGCATGTTAGAAAGAAAATAAGAGAATAAACCAACTATAGACTCACTCAATACAACCTTTTGATATTTGATAGAAATTCATTTTTAAAACGTGTAGGATGTATATAAGGGAAATATTCTTTAATTCAGTTACATTAGTAGGACTTTATAGTTAATAAATTTCATTTTAATATTTTTTACTTAAAGTTCAAAGTGTTTGTGGGTTAAATATATTAATTATACTCAAGTAATTAGGTAATTTTTAAAATTTTAATACAATAGTATTTTTATAGGAGATAACTAAGGTTTAAAGTATTATTGCAGTTTTCTGTGTTGCTTTTAGCCCTGCCCTGTTCTCCCACCATTGGTGCTGAGGACAGAACCCAGAGCCCTTTCATTCAGATAATCACACATGTAGGCAAGTGCTCTATCACAGCTCCTAAAATATTATTATTAATTGATAAACATCTAAAATATTTTTGAAGAATAAATTATAAAAGAAGCAAATGTAAATGCCAAAGTTTCACCAGAATGTATCAAAAAATGTTTCAACCATATAATACAGCTTTCAGGAAGATAAAGCTGATCTCAAAATCTGATACAGAAAAGATACAAAAGTTTCTCAAAATACACAAAACAATTCATATATAATAATAATAGAGGTCCAGCAATGGTAGCCCACACCTTTAATTTCAGCACTGGAGAGGCAGAGGTAGGTGGATCTCTGAGTTCAAGGCCAGCCTAGTCTATATAGTGAGTTCCAGCAGGCCAGTCAGAGTTGCATAAATGAGACTGTTGAAAAGAAAAGAAATAAAGGACAGAAAAAAAGAAAAAGGAAGGGAGGGGGGAAGGAGGGAACAAGGAAGGAAGGAAGGAAGGAAGGAAGGAAGGAAGGAAGGAAGGAAGGAAGGAAGGAAGGAAGGAAGGAAGGGAAGGAGGAAAGCAGGGAGGCAGGGAGGGAGGGAGTGACCTGGTAGCTCCAGGAAGCCTGGTGCCTGCCCTCAAAAAAGGGACTGAGGATGTAGCTCAGTGAGAGAGGACTTGCTGTGTATTTTCAAGCCCTGAGCTCAAAGCCCAGCAGTGTTAAAATGAAAATAAAAACAAAATAAATAAATAAATAAATAAAGCACTGATAGAGGATTCAAATGTTAAAGCGTTCCTGAGTAAATAAGATTATAGTTTATTTTTACTTTAGTTCATAACTTATGTATTATACAAATATTCTACAACATATATACACTAATTAGAAAGATGGTGGAAAGAGTTATGAGTGTTATAAAAATTTTACCTTAAACTGTAAATTCAGGGAATAGAGAAGAATTTTTGGCTTATCTCCATCTGCTGTTCCATCATGTTCATTCCAGAGAGGAATAGGCTGCTCCCCACCTAGAAGAGGTTTAATACTGAAGAACTTATCAGAAAAAAAATGACTGTATTTTGCACATTAAAAAAGAAAATCACCAGTAAAAAAATTTAATGACAATTAAATTAATATAATTTTCAATTGCAATCTTTAGCCAGGTCATGCTTCAGTGAAGCAGGTTATAGAACATACAAGTGGAAAAAAAACAATGGAATCTTGAAATTTGCAGGAAAAATGGATGGAACTAGAAGAAACCATCCTGAGGTAACCCAGTCACAAAAAGACAAACATGGTATGTACTCATTCATATATGGATTTTAGAAATAGAGCAAAGGAGTACCAGCCTACAATCCACACTGCCAGAGAAACTAGGAAACAAGGAGGACCCTAAGAGACACATACATGGTTCCCCTAGTGAAGAAGAAAGGGACACGATCTCCTGAGCTAATTTGGAGTATGGGGGAGGAGAGAGGGAGTCAGGAGAAAGAGAAGGGGAGAAGAGGAGGGGAGAGGAGGACATCAGGGAAGAATAGAGGAGAGCAAGAAAAGAGATAACTTAATAGAGGAAGCCATTATAGGATTAAAGAGAATTCTGGAACTAAGGAAATGTCCAGAGATCTACAAGTTTGACCCCAACTAACAATATAAGCAATAGTGGAGAGGCTACCTTAAATGCCCTTCTCCGATAATGAGATTGATGACTACCTTATATGCCATCTAGAGCCTTCATTCAATAGCTGATGGAAACAGAAGCAGACACCCACAGCTAAACACTGAGCCGAACTCCTGGAATCCAGTTGCAGAGAGGGAGGAGGAGTAATGAACAAAGGGGTCAAGACCAGGCTGGAAAAACCCACAGAAACAGCTGACCTGAACAAGGGGGAGCGCATGGACCCTAGACTGATAGCTGGGAAACCGGACCCCCTGAAGGAGGATATCAGTTGGAGGTCTGGGCAATCTATGGTGCGTCTGGTAGTGGATCAGTATTTATCCCTAGTACAGGAATGAACTTTGGGAGCCGACTCCACATAGAGGAATACTCTCTCAGCCTAGACACATGGGGGAGAGTCTAGGCCCTACTCCAAATGATGACATATTTTTAAGATCCCCCCATGGAACACCTCACTCTCCCTGGGGAGCAGAAAAGGGTTGGGATGGGGGGAACAGGGGAGTAAGGGAGGGAGAGGGAACATGTAAAAGAAGCTTGTTTCTAATTTAAAATTGGTCTAATTACAATTATAAAAATAAAAAGAATTAAAACATCAACACTTCTCAGCCTTTTGGCTAAAACTGAGTGTAAAACATTACATACCAAACACATGATTATACATCTCAGAAAATATTTGAAGCCAAAATGTACACTGATTTCTTTAATCAACAATGTGAACTTGTTTATATTCAGATAGGCTACAAACCAACAAAAAAAAGGAAGCAAAAACTGAAAAATAGTTATGTGCAAGTATGTGCTAACATACTTTGATTTCATATTGGCTCTTAAAATTTAGACTAGTAATTCAAAATCTATTCAACAAATATTATGATAAAACATATTTTGTAATTTCTACTGTAATAAAAAAAGAAAAAATAAGAAGGTATGAAATGAAGCAATAATTTAAGAAGGTACAAGATAAGACAAGAAAGCGTGTTATGAACCAGATTCAGAGGAAGATATATCTGTATATCTATAATTATGTCTCTCTCTCTCTCTCTCTCTCTCTCTCTATATATATATATATATATATATATATATATGCATAACTATATAGATACATAGGCAAGAGAGAAAAGGAACAATATCTATGATGAGACAGGAACACAAATATTCAGGATACCAGGACATATATTTAACATAAATCTATGTAGATTTTATCTGTCTTTATATGCTAAGTGCCTACTTGCATGGTTGTACTTTCCCTCTTTCAAGAATTCTGCTCTAAAATTTAAAGTGATTTCTCTCTTCTGCTTAACATCAGATATTAATTTCTACCTCATATGTGAAATCCACAATAACCTTTCTTAAGCAAACTTAGTGATTGATTACCTTATCCACAGCCATCTATCAACTATTCCATCTTTCTTGTCTTTATTGTCCAGCTACCACCAAAATTTCAGGTGACAAAAATTACTCACTATCATTTCTTAGATGTCTTAATTTCCTTAAATAAGGTTTTTACTGCTACCACATTTGGAAGTCTCATGCTAACTCATTCCAAAGAGAGTTTTTACATTACTTTTCAGTGCAATTTATAAAATGTTAAATCGCTATTACTGTTTTTCATCATTTGAATTCTAAACCACTGCTATCTGATGTTACCATTCTCTGAACTCCCTTTCCTAAAGCATATTATGGTGTTATTTACTTGCTATATTCTCAACCAAGCAAATTATCTACATGGACCCTGGTACCAAGGATAGTGCATTACTGAGTGCATGCAATGTGCCATTTGCACACCTCCTCAGTCCACTACACATTAGTATAGTCATTCTTATTCTATTAACTTTTATTTATCAACTCTCTCCTGATGTATCATTAGGAGAACTTGATCTTTCTTTCTCATATGATGTGTCAAAAAATATCCATTTCTGTCATAATTTTTATTTATCCCCATAGTTATCTCCAAATAAGATTGTGTTCTTTGGGGGAAGCAGTATCTTAGTGGGTCTCAGTGTTTTCCTGAACTCTGTCAAGTGTACCTGTGCTGTTTCATGATCCAATTTGTCATCTTCAGTCATGTTTACAATATCCTCACAACAGCCAGGACAAGTCTTCCAAATGTCTTTAGACTCCCACAAGTCTCACTTTAACGACAGCAAATAAACATGACTTTCTCTTTTTGCAGTTTTCTTTCCTGAGATTGTGCCTGTCTTTTGTAATGGCTCTATGATCAAAAAGTAGAATGCATTCGAGTCCTAGTTCAAGCCATCCTGATGCTATAAAGTCCTCAGAGATATGTATTCATTAAGTATCCTTTTTCCTTAATATTTTTAACATTACATTCCTTGTTCATTCATGGTGTATGTGTACATGTGTGATCACTGTAATGGAAGCTAGGTTTGCTAAGCCTGGTAACTGTTATTTCCACATGGTAACTTCTTCATGATCTAATTTAGAGTAACATATTTTCTATCTCATAAATACTATTTAACAGAGAGAAACCCTGTCTCGAAAAAACAAAAATAAATAAATAAATAAATAAATACTATTTAAATGGATTTATATCAGTCCTTTTATATAGAGAAACAATTTATAAAGACAGTTTCTACTTAGGAATATGAAAGTATATCACATACTAAAGAAAAAAAATCACATGGCATAGTTGCTTACACTTCGAGAATTACTTTTAAAATACCGCTAATAAAAATGTTTAAGCCAGTAAAGGCCTCTGACATGGTTCTATAGTCAATATTAGGTTCCAGATGATTCTAGAGCAGAAGTTCTCAACCTGTGGATTACAAACCCTTTGAGGGTCAAACAACTCCTTCATGGGTGTCTATCTGATAGCAAAATTAGTTATAGAAATGAATTTTATGATTGGGATCATCCCAACATGAGGAACTGTTTTAAAAGGTCTCAGAATTAGGAAGGTTGAAAAACATTGCTCTAGAATAATCTTATGGTACAACCAACATAGTGCATGTGTGGTCAAGTAAGGACTATAGGACTCTCATTCACAGAGTCTTTGAAATTCTTAGTTCAATAATGAATAAATGGTATCATCTCTGTAAATGAAAATAACATAAACTAGAAAGGGGATTGTGGTGAGGAAGGAAGAGATCTTAAGTATGGGGGGGGGAATAATGTTATAAGAAAGAATAAAGAAAAGACTGATTGGAGAAGGGGGCTTGCCTGAGGAGGGTAGAGAAACAAATGCAAACAAAGTATGATGACATCTATGTAAAAATGCCAAAATGAAATCCATTACTTTGCACAACAACCTAAAAAATAATAACAAAGAACAAAAAATATAAAGAAATGAGGACTGGAAATTAGCATTTATCCAGGTGTGGGGAGGTGGCTCAATGGCTTGCTGTGGAAATAGAGACTTGGGTTTGGATCCCTAATATTTATGTAAAAAGGTGAGAGTAGTCATTCTTGCTGGTAGGCCTAAGCAAGTCATAAAAGCTTTAAGTTATATAGACATGTAGGAGATGGGACTTAGAGACATTACATATACATATGAATTTCTAAAATCAAAGTACAATACACTGATATTAAACCTCTATTCAAATTAATACGTGCTATCTTAAGTTATTTATCTGTTCTTGGTAACACAAGCACAGACTCAAAAGAAGAAAATGTGTACCACAATCAAGGTTAATTTAAAAGTGCTTTTGCCAAAACTTTATCTATTACACAGTGAAGTACTCAACTGTTGTTAACAAACCTTCTGGGTGTACAGTAACTACTTGGATGGCTATACTAATGTGGAGAGGGATTAAGAGGCACAGTATTTTTGTTCTTTGCTTTCCAAGATCAACTCCTAGTGTAGCCCTGGTGAGCTTCCTGTTCCTGCCTGTTTTTCAGGGAGTTCATAAAGACCCCACCAGGTAGACTGTAACTAATATCCATTCTACAAAGAAGATGGTCAACACAGAAGAAAAATTTCTTCCAGGCCATGGTCAAGCAAGGCCTTTGACTTATGCTCAAACACATGGAACAGCTAAACAAGGCTAATGAAGCCAGAGCCCCCCCCCCACCACCCCACAGCCCCATGTGCAAGTAACCCCGAGGACCAGAGCCTAACTGTCCATGATAGTAAAAAGAAAATAATTAATTTGGCCATTCTGTAAATTCTTAACCATACATCAGGAAAGTATAATCAAAGTTAAAATAATGGATAATAATATAAAACAATGTTTTTAATCAAATTAAAATCCTTAATTAAATTAAAGGATTCACATGTTTCTCCTAACCATGGACATACTTTTTTTAAAAAATATATTTCTGATACTTCTGCTTATGTCTCCTGTCCTTACAAGATCTACAAGTAAGAGTAAAACCATGCCAAAGACTACTATCTCATTTGTGAACAGCTTTACAAATGGATATTTGGATCTTTGTAGCAAAAATGGATTAAATCTATTATAATCTTAGTGGTAATGGTATTGTCTAGATGTTATATATTCAACCACTATCTTAATTGTGTCTAGACTCATTTACAGTTGATCCACATTCAGATAGTGCTCAGATAATCTAACTCTGGGTCCTTTTAACTGTTCTCCAATGCCTCAAAGTCAGCAAGAAAGAAGACTCTAAATTCCTCTATTCTCCCAATGTTAGATGGAAGCAGCCAGACTCATTCAACATCCATCTGCTAAATTGTTTCAGGGTCTCAAATCATGAAGTAAGAATGTTAGGTAGACAGATAGGTATTAGCAGGCTTGGAGGTCACTGAGAAAAAACTCTACCCTTATAGCATCCCCTTCCAAAGTTTCCAACACCAGAAACCACCCTCAAACCATGATGAGGATGCTGACCCTGACATCAGGAAAGAGATACAAGAACAACAAATGTGCCCTTTTCTCCATCTATCCATACAAACAAAAGTCAAAAATGTTAATCATGGTCATGGCATTCTGAACCCCCACCTCTATCCCTGATAATCACCTAGATTCCTGCCACACACACTTCTGCAGATCTTAACAGCTGTACATAAGAGATGTCTACCTATCACCTGACATTCTTTCACTAATTCCTAGAAAAATCCATCTCTGGTCCAAACAGAAGCTTTTCATCCTCCTTTCCTGCTCCCTACCCTGTCTACCCTAACTACTACAGCTTGTAAGTGAATAGTGGGCTATGATTCTTACACAGTCTCTCCCATCCACTGCAGGTTTTCTTTCTTGAACTAAAGGTCTCTACAATCTCAAATAACAAAGGGTGAGCTCCAAGTTCAATGCAAGACCCCAGCTTAAGGGAATAACATGAAGACAAGTAAAAGAAGCTAGCTGATATTCTCTTTTGTTCTCTGTATGTGAATCTTCTCTCTCACTTTTCTGTCTCTGTTTAACACACACACACACACACACACACACACACACACAAACACACACTTATAAATAAAATTTTTGCTACTTTTTTGTCAATTACTTCTTAGCCTTACCAGACACCTTCTGTATTACTTCATTCACTTCCTTCATGAACACTTTCTGTACAAACACCAAGTGGTTTAAAAGATCTGTTGTGAGATTGTGTTCAAAGGAACCAACCTGCCAAACAAAATCAGAGTGTGAGATTGTATTACTCAGTATGTTGGCTCTGTAATGCTTTTCCATAGAGCCAAAAACCTCTAGGAAAAGGAGATAATTAGCTATATATTATATGAGAACAATGCATTGAAAAGGGGCTTAAAGTATTCAGTCCCAATGATCAATTACATTTGTATTAAATGTTATAGATATAGTGATTAAAAACAAAAACTCCAAAACAGTACACTGTAGAGCTTATGATTATATGAGAGTGAATATACCACTCTCATATACCTAATCAGAGATACCTAATCTAATCATACATGTTGTGATTAGTACACTGCTCTAATTTCTGACAGAATTAGTCAATAAACAGATGAAGTAGAAAGCAGTTTCTAATTAAGTGACCATAACAAAAAAACAGATTCAAGCACTCTTATGATAAAGTAAATACTTTATTATTGCGATACAGTTCATATGCTGATCAAAAATTAAAAGAGCAAAATTGTAACAATAAGTCTTTACTCCAAGCAGCCCAAGTCCTGCTGCCACGTGGGCGCTTTCCGCCAGGCCGCCTGAGTTCTGCCTGCTGCCATGTTAAGGTCCCAGGTAACACACAGACACTTATATTAGGTACAATGCTGCTGGCCAATCACTAGGATATCTTACTTGCTAGCTCAGTCTTAATTATCATAAATCTATGTATTTTATAAGACTTACCTTATGGAGGACGCATGCCTTGCGTCCTGTCTTCCTGGTGGTTACAAGGTGACTCCACAGAGAGGAGGAAGAGAGAAAGGGGAACGACTTCCTTCTTGCCCTTGCTTATGTATGAGTCTGCCTGCTATGTCACTTCCTACCTGGATCAAAGACTTCCTTTTACTACATTTCCCAGAATCCTCGTTGACTCCTAGTCCCGCCTAACTTGCTGCCTCATTGGCCAAACAGTACTTTATTCAACAACCAATAAGATGAACATACACAGAAGGACCTCCCCCATCACAAAATAAATTTGTCATCTTTGATGAGAGATCTCAAAAAAATGTAAGTGTACCAGAAGGCACTTTTTTTTTTTTTTTTTTTTTTTTTTTTGGTTTTTTGAGACAGGGTTTCTCTGTGTAGCTTAGAGGCCTATCCTGGCACTCTCTCTGGAAACCAGGATGGTCAAACTCACAGAGATCCACCTGCCTCTGCCTCCCGAGTGCTGGGATTAAAGGCATGTGCCACCACCACCCGAATCCAGGAGGCACTTTTTTTAAAAAAATATTTTTGTTAATTTTAATTATGTGTTTTGTCTGCCATGTGGGATTGTGCACATAACCAGGTACCCATACAGGCAGGCAGGGTTATATTCCTATGGAGTTGACGGCTGTGGATGTTGGGAGCTGAACTCAGGCCCTCTAGGAGAGCAGTACATGCTCTTAACCACAGAGCATCCCTCCAACTCTGCACCAGGCATTTTATCTTGCACAAAATAGTACAAACAGGACAAAGATGAGTTTCAGTGTGTTTATTCTTAGGCCACAATAAAAATAGGCAATTTTGAAATAAGGTACAATACAATTTTAAATGCTCTGAAATTAATTTGTAATGTTCCTTTTTTTTGTTAAATCTGGGATTGTGTTTTTCCTAGAGTATAAATTCTTTTTAGTTTATATGATTTAGTTATAATTTCTAGTTAAGATGAAATCACAAAATGCAATGCTTTACTTTCTTTGAAATGAAGCATTATTAACAGTACTGCTCAACTAATTTAGGCTACTTATTTTTATATGTGGCAAGCAGACATGCCATATAAAATTTCCCAATTCAACATTTGACTTCTTAGAATCCTGTGTATATTAGATACATTTGTTTTCAAATTCAGAAATTCCAACTCTTGGCCTGGCTAGGTGGATTACTGGATAAAGGAGCTTACCATGCAAACCAGGAGACCTGAGTTTTGTCCCCAAACCCTAGTAAGGAAAAGTAGAAGCAAAGAACAGATTCCACAAAGGTGTCATCTCATCTCCCTATGTATACCATGGCATCCTACTTCCAACCACATAGCATTGACATAGACACACACACACACACACACACACACACACACACACACACACACACACACACACGGAAAAAGATACACAAAATTAAAAACTAAAAGAAATTCCAACTCTTAGGTATAATGGTCCAGTTTAGAAAAGGTATATCAGACTTAAATGTGTCTCTTCCAATTACAGTATATCTATTAAAAGAAAAAACTCAAAATGATTTCTTAAAGATATTCAAGCCAAATGAAACAGGTATGTCATACTTTTTAAGCTTCTGACAGTTATACATAGAGGTGACAAAAATAATGAAGTAGTTCAGAATACCAGCTTTTAACATTATCTTAAATAATAAATGAGTTTGTTAATTTATCTTTTCATATGACCTTTAGATCATGACTATTCATTATGTTTTAAATCATATAACGATATTAAATATAAGTTTTGTCCCTCACTTAAAAAGAAAAAAAACAACAGGTATGTTCACCTCAAAGTTAAAGAACCACAGAAGTAGACATATAAAGCTCTTGATGCTAGCTGTTATTCTCTTTTTATAATCAAATAAGCCATAAAAATATTGCCATGATGGACTTGAAAGTTAACATACAAAATATAAATTAATAGATGACAAGTATATTGTTTCAAAAAGCATGTTTTAATACAACATCTGGGGCAGAGTGCAGACAAAGACAGACACCTGCCCATTCTCTGAAAATTCAGTAGTCTTCTGTAGGAACAAATAATTTAATATTTATCCTTCAAATTTGGATCACTACATATTTTGGTATCTAAACCTTGAAAACTTGTCAATTGCAAAAAAGTAACTTTGAAAGTAAACTTACCTCTGCCACACAACGTAGATAATTGCCTTGTAAATAGTAGCCCTGTTTAGAAGGTAGCTCATCTATACTCCATACTTGATCTGAGTAACTATCATGTTCTTCCATGATATATTTCCCTGACATGGTAACAGGTGGAAGGTTCAGACTTGCAGAAGGAGGGATAGTTGACATATCTGTTGCAGAAACTTTTGAAGTAAAACGCAATCTGTGGTTTGGTAACTCAAATGTAAACCTTGTCTGTGCACCTGTAAGAAGGAACATTATAGCCATACAAGCATGTATTAATATTTTCACTTTTACAAAAATAGTGTTTAAGAAAAATGTTTTGTCATCCCACAATTTATGTTGATACACATAAAAGGTAATATTTAAAATTTACATGTGAGATATTCCCTGTCTTTAAACAAGTATACTCACTTTAAAGAATTAGTCAGCAAGTACTATTAAGCCAAGAATATTTATGAAGTCTATTGAGTACCTAGCATTGTAGCTGATTCAGAGACACTCGCAGATTCTGCATATCACAGAAGGGAGAAAAGAAAGACATTGCCCTTCATGTAGAGGAGCTAAACTACAAAAACTCAAGCTAAAAATACGTCTCAAATTCTGAAATTTTAAGCACACATTCATTTAACCTTAATAACTATTAAGAGGCCAAATTATTAAGCTGCAAATTTCAGTTCAATATTGTGTTAAATTTTTAAGTCCTCTCCTCTATGGCAGAGTTGTTCAAGTAAATATTAACGTATAGTCAATTCCATTATTTTGCCAGTATGGTTTAGTTGTCTATGTAAACATGAAGAATTTTTAGAAGCTGTATTGACAACAATTCTATCATTGCTCAGACATAGGTAATGTATATACATCCATGTTCCTCTCGTAAACAGAAGAATGTCATTCTCCAACTGCAACATCTATGGGATGGCCATAAAGGTCCTGACTATATTGAGCTCCTCTTACACAACTGCTACAACCAAGTATATCTTTCAGTAGCTCCTGCAAGCTGCAAGAGGTAGGGTCCGTTTCCTAATAACTCTCTTGCCAGCCACACTAAATAAAAAGCATCCAGATCAAAGCAACCCTAGTCCTCAGTTATCACATATAAGTAATCATGATTGTGTCATTCTTTTACTGGTTTTGTCCTTTGACTTCATTTGCAGAATTCTGGGTTCTTATTTGTATGGATATTCAACAAGGTATTTACTCTGTTCTTAAATTTTCTACTTTTTCAGTTCTAAATTGTCTATCTGGCTTGCTGTTTTCATTAACCCATGGATTCCAGATGGCATGAATACATGAGCAAATTAGCCAATGTACTGATAGGTCTGGCTTCTGATAGTTGAAAGCCCATGCTTTATAACTTAGCCAAATTGAAAACTCACCTTAGAGTGCTTCTATTTCTGGTAATATAAAGGCTGGAATGTTCAGAAAACTCTCTTAATATACACTCTGATATGTAAAGAATAGTAACATAGATATCCTTAAAATAACATATCTGTGTTGGAATAGATTAATGCTATAAAAGTTAATGTAATTTATCATGTTAAAACAAGAGAAAAAAGGAAAGACATTTTGATTTCAACAGTCATAGAAGAAAGTATCTGTATATAGACACCAATTATTCTTTACAGAAATTTCATAGCATAGTAAGAAAATAAATTCCTTTTGTTAAAATGACATAGGAAACCTATGAAAAACATACAGCAGACAGACTCATTAGTAAAATGTTAGGCCTTAAAAACTGGAATTAAAAGAAGGCAAAAACAACTAAGAAGATTAAAACATTTTATAAAGGGGGGGGGAAAGAAGGTAAGGTGCTGAAGGGTGATTTGGAGGTGTCTGGGAGAAGTTGGGGATGAGGAAGTGGACAAGATGAAAATAACTGTAATCATAAATAAAATTATCAAAGGCTTGATGAATATAATTTATAAAAGAACACCATTATTGAAATTTAAATAACCAAAATTTAATCTCTGGTTTTGTTTTTTGCTTTTTGGGAAGGTGTCTCTCACTATGTACCTCTGAACTCACTACATAGACCAGGCTGGTCTCAAATTCACAGAGATTCTCTTGTCTCTGATTGTCTAGTGCTGAGATTAAAGGGTGCAATACCATGCCTGACTATTTAGATTTTTTAATATCATATTTTTAAGAACTTTACCTTTTCATCAAAATACTACTTTCTTTCCAAAATTACCATCAGTTTTATGTGGTTAGACTCAAAATTCCATGTTACCTGTCATTCCATGGCTTCTCATTCTCCCCATCTTGTACTCTGCTTTCAGTGATGGTAAGAGTGCTGCTCCAATAGCTATGCCATCTAACATGGCACTAAATTTAAGAACAATAGGCTTCTTCTCTAAGCCTTCTGGCAGTTGAGGAAATTCATTTGTTTCAATAGGAGTTTGATTAACACTTGTTGGAGTTTTTTCAGAAGGCAGTGGGGTTGCAATATCTTCTTTCATAGGCTGTGGGCTATAAACCAAAACACACACACCCAATAAAACTATTAGCAACCACCACATTACTGAATAAAATTACTGGATTTCTCAGTGGAAAAACACCTAAAAAATAATGATGATCTAGAAAACAAGGTAATAATGTGCCATATTTTATTAACATGAAAACTAAAGACCTAGATAAAAAAAATGTAGAAAAAAAAAGTCACTGATTTCTGAAACTATCAGAAGATACACTATTTCATCACTTTATAGGAGAGGGAAAAGTAAGCATGCATGTGCAAACATATACATGTGTGGACACACATACATGTCCATATAGAGAGACTTTAGTGAGTGTGCAAGCTCTCTCTCTCTGTCTCTGTCTCTCTCTCTTTGTCTGTCTGTCTATCTCTCTGTGTGTGTCTCTCTCTGTCTCTCTCTCTCTGTCTCTCTCTCTCTCTGTCTCTCTCTCTCTCTCTCTGTCTCTGTCTCTC